TATATGTAGGTTTCGACAAAAATTTGTATTTTCAATATTTTAAATTATTTAATATTCGATCCGCCATATTGTATCCGCCATCTGGAATTTTGAAAATCTAACATTGGATTTAGAATCAGGGACCCCAAAATCTCCCTCTTTTTACCACATAAACATTTTTTAATGTCTCTGTTTTCGTTGCAAGCACAATACAAATAAATAGATTAAAATGTTCGAATATTCATGAATTTTTTTTCTCGTAAAATATGCTTCTAATCGAAAAATTACTAGAATTACTTTTTACTTAGAATTTCCTGCAAAATTCGATAATATTTTTTATTTTTCAATATTTTAACATTTTTAATGCTCGGTCCGCCATATTGGATCCGCCATCTTGAATTTTGAAAATCTAACGCTGGATTCGGAATCAGCGACCCCAAAAACGTATAAGAATGGTCAAATCTTTTGCATTCACTATTTTTTCACGATATAACCTTGGATTGACCTTGACGGACCTCAGATTCGGATTCAACGATCCCAAAATCATATACACATCAGGGTCTGATCTTTCGGACCAAGTACAATCTTTCTGGCGCTGTGATTATTACTAGTTAAAAAAACTAATTTTAAAAACATCTACATGTTACTAAAATTTGTGCCTAATTGAACTTTAAAATTCAAAATATTATGCAAAAAATCTATAGTACTCATTTACTTCTTCGCAATAATGTGCTGGTATGATGTACTCTTATGCAACATTTAATATTTACGTGGGCGAACCAACAATCAGAGGCAATTATAAGGATAAACATTACCCTTATACGAAAACTTGCAGAAATTATGTATGTTGCTGCGAGTATGTAAATACTATATTAATTCTAATTTAATTAAGTATTACATTAGTGAATAATCGCCTGCAGATAACTATAAATAGTTATTCCTTTTGAAATTGATATTAAAAGTAAATATTCATAAAAATAAGGCATTGCAAATTTATATTAATGTTAATCATATTGTCCTCATTCGAAGAATGAACTTATTGTCGTTTCACTTTCATAATTTCTGTATAATAGGTAGCGAGTGCATTACCTTTTTGTCGAAATTCAATATCTGCCTTAAATATATTACACGATAATTAACAAATACATTTTTCTTGTGGAAATTCATTTAAAGTTGCAGACATTCGGTATTACACCATCAGAAGTCTAGGATTCTGACATAGTCCGATGGCAACTAAAATTTTTTGCTCACTTTTAGTGTCACACTTCAACACCTCAACGGTAATTTTTAATAAAGCTATGTTAGTGAATTAGTTAACAGTATAATCGACGGTGTTTAAAAAATTCGCAATCAAGTTTTGAATACAATTTTTGACTTTATAACATTTTCTCTTTGTTTGGAGAAAAAAGTATCTATTAGATAACTGATAAAAATTGTGGAAATTCAGATAGAATTTTTAAATATTTGTAATTAGTGTATGATGTATTTTAGTAGAATTACACGTTTGAGTGTATATTTTCTTTTTTCGATGTATTTTTAACTTTTACGTTGTACTTTTACATTTTAAAATATGTTATTATTAATCCTTTATGTGGTTTTACTATATTTGATGTAAATGTACGAATAAAAGTGTGAATTTACACGACCTTGTTTGGCTTGACCAATCAGATTAATTTATGTGATCATTACTACCGCGCGTCTGTAAAGAGTTGTGCTAGTTGTTCATTAGGCATGTTTAGATTCATTTGTAGCGTATTAATATAGCACTACCTAAATATAATATTATAACTAAATACTGAAGCAAGTAAATAATAAATAAATTATATAAATCTCTAGGTATATCTTCATTTAAAGCTTTTAAAGGGTATGAGGAACATCAATAATAATCGTATTACTTACCTTTACACAAGGACATCCAGATTGTAGCTTTCTGTTTAAAACCTATTTTACTTACACTAATTGCTCTCTATTGCTCTCGAAATTGCTCAAAAATCTCACCTTAAAATGCACCTGGACGCGAGAGGGAGGGCAAAATTTTAGATGGACTAACAAAATTAACAGCTGTAGACTTTAGACATTCTGTATGAATTTTTGCAAATTTGACATAAACTGGTTGAATTCCATTGCTTTTAAATTATGCATGCCAAATTTCATTAATAAATAAAGCTAAATGTCGGAGTTCTTCTGTTTTCAAAAATCACTTGCATCCCTCAATTTTTTTCGAAAATTGATAATAACTTGAAAACTGTCACATTTTGGCCTATAGTAGGTATACATACCTTATATGAAATTAGTCTAGATTTTACCGTAGAATTAAATAATGCAAAAATATACAGAGTGTTTCATTTGAAATAACAGAGTTGATGATGACTTCCGGTATCACCGGAAGTGCGAGAAAGTTAACACTACTTTCATTTTATAGACCTTTATGATAAACCCCTGTATACAAATTTTCAGATTTCAATTTTGACTACTTTTTGAGATAATCCTACTGGGCCCTCTTCGTGATACACCCTGTATATGTATATCTAAAAAAAAATCTTAGAACAAACGGGGAATGTGGAAAATGTATGTTCACATAATGTTTTCAATACGATGTATTGTATATATTTCTTCAGTTCGCAAAGGAAGTAAGAAAAGCCTGTTAACACCCTGTAACTCATAAATTGTGCTCAAGTTTTATGTCACAAATGACGTTAAAATTAAAATACGTATTTCCTTATGTTAGAATGGTAAATCTATGTTTATCGAGAAGTCTACGAGTGTTTCAAATATCCGTGTAATGAATATGATTCATTAAGGTAATAGCTGCATATTAATTAATTATGTCATTATTATCATCATTTACATCTGCCCTTATTAAATCTAAATGATGGACATTACCCTAATAGAATTTTGAATGGAAAATTTGTTATTATTTTGTACAATTATTTCTAAATAATAACTGTAAAATTTACATTTTTTTGGATTATTTTTTAATTTGACACTGATTGCCATATTGTCATTCGAGAGATTTCGATTTGCTAATCCTACGATTAATATTAGAATTCGTTTTTTAATTTTCAGATTTATCTTTGAAAGATGAACAAGTAAAACTAGAAAATATAAAATTGAATTCTTATGTTTACGTCAATATTTGTAATTTTTTTAAATAATATATCAGTAGATAATTTGAAGTAACTGCAGTTTCTATTTAGTTTATATGTTTTTTGTTATTTGATATAGTTGGCCTTTATTAAAAAAAGTAATAATAATAATAATAATTCTCACATTAAATTTAAAATAGTATGTAGTAAAGATTTAAACTGAGTAAATTTAAAGAAATAATAAATTCAAAAATCAACATCGCTTTTTTAAATAATTCTTCAGAGACGTTATGGGGATAGAAATCGAAAGTGACTAATTAAAATAACCTTGAATAATTATGTTACTTGCTTTTTACTGCTGATGACATGTCTAGGATAATGGATATGTCTAGAAAATGATGGAATGTTCAAGAAAATTGCATGTGTATTCCTAATTTTTTATTTTTTTATAATTTTTTTTTTGAAAATACAAAATTATTTTATGAAATATGACATTGTTAATTTTAATTTTTGTATTTTTTTTCAAAGCTGAACAGCAAATTTCAGGGTATTTATTAGGAACCGTAATTATGGTTCATGTGTGATAATAAAATTTTTGAACAACATAAGATAAACGCTTCAATTCGGATATATGTTGCATCATCTATTCATATACTTACATTTTAATAATTTATTTTTTAAATTTTGTATTCGAAATCAAAATGGGAACCACAAACGGTGTATAGAGGATGTCCAGAAATAAGTTTCAAAATTATAATCATGTATGTAACTTATCAAAAGTGAAAGTAACATTTTTTTCAAAACTCTTAGTTTTTATAATAATACAATTTTAAAGAATTTTTAAATTTTTGTTACATGCCAGAGAAACATAAATTGAAAAGCTTAGTTGAGTTAACAATAATGGCTATTATTTAATATTAATGAAAAAATAATTAAGATAGTGAATCAATCCATAAAACGTATGTTTCTTAATTTCTTTAATCTATAGGCAACTCTTTATTTTAATAGGTAAAAAATGCCGGACAACAATGCAAGTTTTCGAAGAAATTTATTAGAAAGAGATTATTACTTTTGTTCATTTAAATATGTGATTAAATTTTGGGTATTTATATTTCTGACGTCCTGTATCTACTTACTTGACATAACTGATAGATATAAATCCTACAACAATGTTAATGACATTCATTTATTAAAATCTTTTATAAATTTGTCTTTGATACATATTTGAGTCCATGATATATTTTGTTTCAATTTTTTTGTATACCATTTTTAACATTAAAGAATATGATTTTGATTTTGTATGAGTTAATATTTATACTTTAAAAATTAATTAGAGCATAAGTACATCGTCAAAAGAATTTCGCTGTACTGTATGTGGTGGACATCCGGTATATACAAATGTTATTATCAGCACTGAGATTTTTCAAGGTTTCTATTTTTATTGTATCACCTTATTTTTCGTTGATAAGAAAACCATATTTGTATGTCGTCTTAAAACGTGAGTACAATCGTTAAGTCAAATAATTGTTTTTTAAAGTAATTGTATTTACTTTCACAACCATGACTCAGAAAGTTTACGGTATTCTGGATTATCTGCTTGATCTGCTACAGAGTCCAGGACTGGGTTAAAGTTAACGATGGAATAATCAAACTGATTTGTAATTATTTAAGACATATTTATTAAATATATAACAATAACATTTTTAAGTAGTATAAAATGTACATCATTTTACAGCAATGTATACAAAAATCTATTTCTTTGGAAATATATTAAATTTAAAATACACTGTACACTATACATTTACAATTAACTTAATCAATATATTACAATAAAATTATAAGATATAACAACGATATATTATTTTTGTACAAAAAAATATATCCTTAATATATAATAATTAATTTACTACAAATTAAAAAGGTACATTGTTTCGGTTTAAAAATATATAATATATTCGTTTTTTAAATACAATTTAATTGATCACATAGCTCGAACGGAATAATTCTAATGTACATTAATACCCGTCAACAAAACTCTTTAAACAATTTGCGGAAAAATCGAAGAATTGTCCGACAAGCAGTATTTCGATGTATCAGATCACTCTTATTAAATTAAAAGAATCGTCGATGTTTCCGCAAACTGCCGACTAAACTCCTAATTGTAATTAAATAAGTTTCAGAACACGTCAGTATGAAGGAGATCTAGAAACGTACTATAGAGAACCTCTAAGATTCCAGTGAAAAAGGAACTCTCTGAAAATGCGATAGGTCTCGTCTAAAGGCGAAGTCATTATTGTCATTAAATTTAGTTTTTGTTCATAACAAATTTAAAGCTCTTTTCGAATTCGTAATTAACTAAACTAAAGCTAGATTTTCTTGTGGACTACGGCCCGTAGTCGTGCACGATTTCCATCATTCTCTGCCTGTTTTCTTCGGACCTGAACAATGAAAAACATGGAATAAATATACATACATACACCTGACAATAGACGGCATACACTGACTGTGTGTAAAATAAAAAAAAGCCTTACATATGTTGCTGCTGCTGCTGTTGGAGCTGGAAGGTGTCCAGGTGCTTGTTGATCTCTCTGTGGACGTGTTCTGGCAGCACACCAACATTGGAAAAGAGACTCCTCAACACATTTAGCTCCTCCGTCAATAGCTCTATCCTCTTCTGCAGCCTCTCGTTCTCCTTTATCAGGATTTTCACTTTCTCTTCCGTCTCCCTGGTTCGTACCTTCGCCTTTTCCCTGCTCTTTCGCACCGCGATGTTGTTCCTCTCTCGTCGCCTCCTGTACTCCTCGCTATTTTTATCACAGGGCTTGATATTTTTCCTGGCTATGTTATGTTGGTTTAGGAGAGCAGCCTTATTCTTCATAGCGTTCATATTGAGCTGGTGATGTATGACGGGACTGGGAGTTAAGGTGGTGAAAGTAGCACCGGGGTTCTGGGGGTACGACCCTGGCATATAACTGTTGGGTAAAAGGTTGCAGGACTGCCTTCTGTACTCCTGCGGATCCACGGGTTCTTCTTTTATACTAGGAACGTCGCTGCCAACTGAGCTGTTCGAGTCGCTGTTTGAGTTTTGATTTGCAGAGTACGTGGCTCCACTATGGACGGGTTGGGGCATGTATGCCAGGGTGGTTCTAGGGTAGCTGTTGTTGTGGACGCCCATAACTTGCCTCGACTGGAGGTTCTGTATGTGCTTGCCCTGCTGACTCTGCAGGATGTCGGTAAACAAACCGTCACTGAACTGCGAATCGTCTATTAAATTCTGGAGATCGAGGGAGATCTCGGGGGTGTTTAAGTCACTGAGTTCCCCGTGCTGCTGGTACTGCTGCATCTGGTGTTGTTTCAACAACGCTTGCGTTTGCTTGGAGCTACCGTTGTTGTTGTTGAGGGTGGTGAGATTGTTGTTGTTGTTCATGATTACAGTTTTTTTACCGTCCTGGCTCAGCACTGAATTATTTTGATTATGCTGTTGATTATCGTACATCTGGGGAGAATCCATTTTAGAGTCAATGTAACAGTCCAAATTTCAACAATGGCCCAACTTTCACTCGCGTCCACTTTCACTTTGCCGAAACTTGCGTTTATAAATTTAAATTATTTCACGCACAACGCACTTTCCAATTTCAGTTTTTAATTTATCTTTCGAATTAAGTATTGTTTCATTCCAAAATTCACAAATGTTCCCGGCTCACTTCTTAAGTGTTTCTAAAAATTATTCCGAAAAGAGCACTTTTGATTATCCAACACTGTGATGTAGCCTCGTTTCGTTTTTAAACCGAAAAACAATTTTTGCGATCAATTAGTCTTTGGGCGGTTGTCACCCTTGACGACCAACCAAAACAATTGCACAAAATAAACTGTCAGTGAAGCGCAGCCTACTTGGGACCACACAATCGTGCGCTTGCCCAAGCCAACTTCATACTGAGCGTGTTTAGCGCGGTTCCTGCAGTTTGTAGTTACTTTCGTAGATCATGCGCCGTATTTCTTGATTCGCCGACGTTCTTTTTGAAAGTGAAACACGGCGATTTGATTTCATGCTATATAACAGTTTTTTGACGTAATATTTTAGGATACTAGACGACGCGATATATTTATTTGTACTCATTGTTGTAGTAATTATTGTTCCGATTATTTTTGCATTGTGCACGGTGACGTTACATCGATTGATTTATTGCCTTTGATTAAATTATACACAAATATTGTTGTTTCACGTAGAATTAGAAAAATCGGGTTATTAATAAAATTTGGTTTGTTTGCGCACATCCCTGATATCACGCAACTCTTATGCAATTATTTTAAACACATTTGTTTTTTTATATTCAAAGCTTTGTATATAAATAAGAAAATAACAAATTAATGGTTCTATAGTTAAAACTTATAAATTTTAAAAAATATATAAATATGACACTGTATTGAATAGGTTTAGTGGAAAAATATTGATTATTTTTACCTACATATCTAAAACTGATCCAGCTATCCATAAATCTATTAAAAAGGTCCTGCCAAATCGTAAAACTGCCGAGAAGGTCCTGCCAGAAAGTAAATAGAATAAAATGTCACCCGTTGTTAAATAATTTTCTTATTTTTTGACTAAATTTTGAAAATTTATTTATAGTTGGTAATACGATATATATTTTATGTTTAAACGTTAAAACTTAAACTTTTGGTTAGAAGTTTTTATTATCCCTATTTATCAACCAAAACACAAAGTTACAAACTGCGGACGCTTATAAACCCTGTTATACCACTGTTTGTGGGTGAAAACATTATTACAATGAGTTTGCATTGCTTTAAAAGCACAGAGACTTACTTATGTACTTTGAGATTGTGACCAATTAACGCAATAATATGAGGAACCTTTATGATATAGGTGGATTATGGTATTCCAGAAAATTAATAAATAGATATTTAATATGTAAACATAACTAACATATTTTCTTTGCCTATGATCCGTATAGAGCCACATTTCATAGCATTTTGTTACTTGCTTGTCGAATTTGTTCAAATAATGTACTGGACCTTGACTAATTTAATTTAATTTGGATGGCCTATATCAAACATTAGTAATGATTCCCTAAACTGTTTGTCAAAACAAATACTTCGAAATCTTCTATCCAGTACTTAGTATTCAAATTTTCGATTTCTTGATTAATTTAATATATGAAAATAGAAAAACAGTTTACATGACCCACAAAGATATTTACGTCTCATGCAAGTCTATAATCATATGTTCATGTTTGTATGCGATTTAAAAGCTTGTCGCGAAATTTCCTTAACTTACACCTTAAAATAAAAATTTCAATTAGGAATAAACCTCACGATAAGCTTTTAAATTGCATAAGAACATGAACATACTGATTATATATAGTACGTGTCTATTTATCATATTTTTGCTGATGACACTTCTATAGAGCAACCATATTTTTGTGAGTTTGGGGTATGCACAACATTAAGGGTTTTTGAACTCCTTGGTTTATTTTTTCTTTTTAGTGCATTTTAATAAAAACTTGTTTTTCAAATATTCTTTTTTTACTTCTCATTTATTTTATTCTATTTTCAATGCAAACTATTTTTTAGCTTACCATTCGTCAATACCTATAGTGACATAAATTTGCGTTTGCGTCTCATTGTAGCTAAATCTCGTTTACGAGAGATGTGACAAACTACTACTGACTATAGTCGCTGTTGGTACTTAAGTTCCAACTCTGAACCTTCCAATAAAGACTTCATCGTCTTCACTTAACATTATTTTAAAAAATTCCAATAAAACATGATAAACAAAAAATTAAGCTAATTGTCGACTGTATTGTATAATATTTTACATAAAATTTCCCATAAGTACCGATACCAATTTGGATAAGTACTTTAAAAACAAGAAAAATATGAAGAACGTCTACAGGAACTTCAGTGAAATATTTGGGAAATGGTACTTACAAGAAATTCAGTACTCACGGATCTAAGGAGACTTTGAACAAAATCCTCTTTGTTGAATTGCACATTTTTTTCTTAAATACATTATTGCTAAATTGCGATGCAATCAGACAAACATAACCTAGACAACAATTAATAATTATAGAGGAAAACGACCCCTGCACACCTAGTCAAAACAAAAACAGCAGGTTAGTGAATGATAACATTGAAATTAATTAAATAGATAGGCGATGCAGTTTAAATAAAAATGCGATTACATTTTAATTTGTCTGGAATTTTTCTTTGTCTCCATCTCATCGGAAAATGTACGTAACGATATTGTGTGCCAGTAAATTGTAAAGTAAAAAATACTTAACTACAGTTCTATATGTACGGTGTAGTCCTAAACGGGTAAAACAACTCTAAAAGACACAAACTTTCTAAGTTGTAGTAAGCTTAGCTTCAGCACTGCTTAGTTAGAAACTATTATAACACTGAAAATGGACCACAACACCCAAGTTGATTTTCTCGAGAATGATTTTGACGACCTTTTTTAATTATAGGCTTATTTTTCAGTTAGATTACGACTTTCAGTTTTCTAAATATAAAAAAAATCAGTGACAGTATGGGTAGAAAACATCTACCCGTCTCCCGTAAGGAAACTGAGGATATGCTTGAAGTAATATGGAAGGATGGATAGATCAAAGAAAGGTTAATGTCTAATTCCTAGTAGGAATCGTCGACGTGAAGCGATAATTAGGAGTATGAATTGATACTGATTTTGTTCTTATTGTAACTTATTTTCTTGGTATTACGACTCTTATGTAATGAATATTGTGGCCCATATTCTCGCAACCCTACATGACATCAACACAACATGTCGCCTCGATGTTGCGACAGTATTAATTTTTTTGCAGTTTAAACAAATTCAATATGTGAAGAAATAGCGCATTCTCTCGCCTGAGGAAAAGCCAATAGTTCATAAAAAAAACTCAATATCACACTAAATGTTCGCGAGAAAATTAAATTTTCACTTTGAATAGCTACGAGTTTATTTTATTTCACACAAAGCACTATTTTTACAAAAGTTTCAAATATTTAAATGCATTTTTTGGACTGCTGAGATATTATTGGAATTGCTTCATATAATAACGTTATATATCCATGTACCCCTGAATTTTTGAAAGATTTTACCTGTATTTCGTCAGCGAAAACCACAAAATAAAAGTATGGGATTTGCTATCAAATTGCAGGAAGTTTAGTATATGTAGTATTCGACTAACAGGAAAAAACGAATTCACAATAACGCACGTATAAATATACAGATAATAAATATTTATTCATGAAAGGCGTATATGTCAAATTTCCATGAAAAAATTATTACGTCATCATTAAGAAAACACAATCTTTTCAAAATCTCTAGAGACACATTTTAGGGAAAATGATTTAAAAAATAAAAGTTTGTGTCCAAAAAAGTCATTTATTGTTGGTGAGAAGGTGTGGTAGATTTTGTTCTTGAAGAGGAACACCTTTCAAAAGAATCATACGTTGGGCCCGTGTCAGACTGTCAAATGTCAAAAATTATTTGACGTTTGATGAACTGTCAAACTAACCTAACTCCTTGTATTATCACTCGATTAAATGTCACTCGAAAAATAAATTCTCCTGATAAGATCTTTATAGAACTACATGATCATATCACGTACTATAGAAGTGATAACATATTTAATTAAAAAAATTGTCTTTAAAAAATTAAAAATGAGTGTACAGTCGCGCCCAAAGTATAAACTCCACCTGGATAAATAGTGTCTCATTTAATTAAAATACATATATCGTACAAGTACACTTAAAGTACAAAGATAGGGCAGATAAGTAAGATTAGTTTTGTTTTGGGTTGGGCGCTGATAAAATTCTAAACGAGTACGTGTTTATTTCTAATTTTCTCACTGTCTCCAGCACCTATTTTTGATAACAGTATCAAAAATATATGCAAATGACTACGTTCTTGAAATCTGAAAAGGTAAAATACAATCAGAAAAACAGGAAAGGCATTTATGTATTTACGAGAGCAGGAAAACATTTAATTGGCCGCAATAAAATTAAAATAATAAATCCGCTGACGACCACAGAGCTATTTATAAGCGCAATAAAAAACATAAAGGTAACACGTATCTGGGTTCAGCACTATGCGAGTGTAACGAAATAGTGCTGATAAAACCGAAAAGCTGAATCTAGCGCGCGTCAAAAAAAACCTACGTAGCACAAATGCACAAGCCCCGCAGCAGTTGTCTACGTCATGTGACGTCACAAACCTGAATCCTGCCGATTCACACGTGCAGGAATGCATACGAATTCCTGCTGCTGAAAAGTAGGTCAGAAAGTGGTCGCATTGGAACGATCTAGGCGCCATCTCGGAGTTACGCACGAAAATTATTTATCTAGGGTAAGAACCGTTTACAGGACTAACGGCAATGTAAAGTGACAGTGCTGTGCTGCCACCTCTAGGGCAGTAGTGCAAAGTTTGTTCGTTGCATTGGTTGGTATCTGAAATCGTAAAGTTTTCTTATGCGAAAACAAGATTTCTACGTACTGTTAATTTAGCTCTATCTGCCAGTTAACATCGCAACTTTTCACAGAAAAGAATATACCTACTTGAAAGAAATCTGCAAAATGTATTTCTGTAAATAAACGTATCTTGGGTTTTTCATATAAAATTATGTATTTTCAAGTAAATTCAGGGTATTCGTTCTTCGAGCAGCATCATTGGAAACTCGGTTATCTTAAGGATGGAAACTGATGCATTTCTGGTTGCCTAAATTATACCGAAAAATGGTAGAAAACAGCCCTTTTTTATTCCAATATATCTTTTTAAAGCAATGGAAGAAAGTAGTAAAATTTCATATCACATTTGGCAAAGTATAAATGAAGACAGTAAAGCAAAAATTAATTGGGATAGATAAATAATTCGTGAGAAATTAATTTCTAAATATGAAGGTTTTTTGGACTTTTACAAAGAAACGATTATTTCTTCATAGTATTACAGAATTATGCAATTTTTTATATAGTTGTCTTTAAATAAATAAACTG